TTGTTGTTTGGCAGGCCCGGGCTGGGGATTCGAACCTGCCACCTTAGGTGTATGTGGCTGGTGCCTTAGCCGCTTGAGCCACAGGCGTCGAGCCTATAGTTATTTCTTATAATATCTTTTTTATGATTTTTAGCATTAGGGTAATGCCGATATTAAAATGGATTAGGCCGTGTTCCTTCTTGTTCTATTTTCTGGAAAAAACTGTATAGAATTGGTATTATTTCTTCCTTAAATATTTAGTAGAATTGAGCAGTGAAGCCATCTGGGCTTTGAATTTTCTTTGTTGTGAGGTATTTAACTATGAATTTAATTTCTTTAATAGATGTAGGACTACTTAGGTTTGCTATTTCTTCTTGAATAGTTTCTCTTAAGAGCAGAATTCCTGAAGTTCTGATTAGGACAATTGTCTGTAGCTGCGCTGCACGCCTAGCAACATTCCTGGCCTCTCCTCACCATGTGCCAACAGCACCCTCCAGCTGCCACCATCAAAATTTCACCAGACGGGCTGGGCACAGTGAATTGGAGCCTATAATCCTAGTGCACCGGGAGGTTGAGGCCTGACAATCACTTGAACTCAGGAGTTTGACACCAGCCTGAGCAAGACTGAGATTTTTGTTTCTATAAGAAATACAAAAATTAGCCAGGCATGGAGATATGCATCTGTAGTCCTAGCTACTTGGGAGGCTGAGGCTTGAGCCCAGGAGTTTGAGGTTGGAATAACCTAGGATGATACCATGGCACTCTAGCCAGGGCAACAAAGCAAGACTGCCTCCCCCAGCAAAAAAAATAAAATAAAATTTCGCCAGACTGCTAAATGTCACAGTGGGGGTTGGATAGAAAGTAAAGTTGTCGCTGGTTAAGCTGGTTCAGAACTCTCTCTCAAGTAAGCTTTGGTAGTTTGTGTCTTTTAAGGAATTGACCCATTTCATCTAAGTTGTCAAATCTATGAGCATAAAGTTTGCAATATTCTCTTAGGATCCTTTCAATGTGTGTAGAGCCTGGAGTGATATTTCCAGCTTGATTCTTGATGTTCTTAATCTGCATATTCTTTTTTTTTGAACCAGCTTTTGGTTTGTTTTCTCTGTTCATCTTGTTTTCAGTGTCACTGATTTTTGTTCTTTTGTTTACTATTCCCTTCCTTCTGCTTGCTTCGGGTTTAATTTGCTCTTCTTTTCAGTATCACAGTGTAGAAACCTAGGTTGTTTGACTTAAAACCTTTCTTCTTTTTACTATTTCAACACTATAAAGGACACAGGTATGAGCCAGCATGCCTGGCAGAGACCTCGTCTCTTAAAAAAACAAGAAAACATGGAATATTCACCCAAAAAAACCATGTATTTTTTCAATAAAAATACATTGAAACTATACAAAATATATTCTCTGATCATAATAACTGGAAGATACCAGAAAATTCCTAAATATTTGGAAATTATGGCCAGTGCAGTGGCTCATGCCTATAATCCTAACATTCTGGGAGGCCAAGGCAGGTGAATTGCTTGAGCTCAGGAGTTCAGGACCAGCCTGAGCAAGAACAAGATCCTGTCTCTACTAAAAATAGAAAAACTAGCCAGGCATTTTGGCAGGTGCCTATAGTCCCAGCTACTCGGGCAAAAGGATTGCTCAAGCCCAAGAGTTTGAGGTGGCTGTGAACTATGATGATGCCACAGCATTCTACCAAGGGTGATATAGCGAGACTCTGTCTTAAGAAAAGAAAAGAAATAGAGATGGGATCTTTCTCTTGCTCAGGCTGGTCTTGAACTCCTGAGCACAAGCAGAGTTCTAGGAATGGCCTCCCAGAGTGCTAGGATTACAGGCATGAGCCACTGTGCCCAGTTGTTTCATGTACTCTTACAAAAAAGAACATGTATTATTTTTTGTTAGGTGGGGTATTTTATAAATGTCACCTAGTAAAATTAATTGACAGTATTTTTCAGATCTTCTATGTCCTTCCTGATTTGCTATCTACTTGTTCTACCGATTATTGTGAGAGGAGTGTTGAAATCCCCTAGTCTGGTTATGGATTTGAGAATCAGGCACTTTATTTTTTTTTTTTTTTGAGACAGAGTCTCACTATGTCACCCTTAGTGGAGTGTTGCACTGTCACAGCTCAAAGCAACCTTAAACTCTTGGGCCCAACCAACTCTCATGCCTCAGCCTCCCAAGTAGCTGGGACTACAGGCACCCGCCACAACACCCAGCTATTTCTTGGTTGCAGTTGTCATTGTTGTTTAACAGGCCAGGGCTGGGCTCAAACCTGCTAGCCTCGGTGTATGTGGCTGGCGCCCCACTCACTGAGCTATGGGCACTGAGCTGAGAATCAGGCACTTTTTTTTTTTTTTTT